TCATCTTGCTCGATGGACGAGTGCAAGTCAGCCACCAAGGCGGCCAAGACTTGATGGCGGTCAAGCGCCCTCACCATCCGCGATCTCTCATTCCGTCCATCGGCCCTGTCGACACATCTGGCGATGTGGTAGAGGCCGTAGGCACGGCTGAGGCTGTCACATTCCGCCATGTGGTCCTCAATGAACTGCAGCAGCCGGTGACAGTCGCCGGCCATTGCAGAGATGGCATCGGTCATGGTTGCAGTGCCGGCAATAGCAGCATTGTTGCCGTTGACGGCTGAGGGCTGTGCTGGTGTGCAGAAGTGATGGCGGGACAGCCGCGCAGCCTGCCGGCGAGCTGAGGCCAGGAGATGCTGACTCATCTCCCTGAAAGCAAGGAAACCGGGAACGCCGATCAGTGAGGCCATCTCATTGATCCAGGCTCCTCTTTTCCCTCTGTCCCCTCTTCCCCCTCGTGCGAGCTCGAATGCGAAGAGGAGAAGAGAAAGAGAAAAATGTTTCAAACACCGTCGGTAGGCCCGCCCCACCTAGGAGGGGCTGCGGGGCAGGCTCCAAGACCCGCTGCCTTCCCAGGGGCTGCTTCCAGTGCGCGAGGTAGGTGGGAGGGGGGACAAGGGAGAGAGAACAGAGGAATGGCGTGTGGGTGGGTGCGTGGGGAGGGGGAATGAGTGTCGGATGGCCTCCTCTGAACTTAATCCTGCCTGTTTGTGAATCCGTCCTGTATTATCTCAGGTGGGGCGGTTCCGCCCGTCCCCCTCCCCGAGCCGCCCAAGTATGTGCCGCCGGACGAGCAGCAGTGGGTGCCGGCGGCCCTCACGGCCAAGCTCCCCCCCAAGACCGTGCCGCGGGAGACCACCCGGGCGCGGTATCAGCAGTTGCTCAAGGACAAGAAGGTCAAGATGTACGAGGACGCCCTCGCAGAGGCCCTCCGGCGTGAGCGGCTGGCGGCCACCGGCGTCACGCCAGACGCCATGAATTTTCGCATCAAATACGACACACGAGTGGGTGGCAGAGGGCGACTGGGGGGAAGAGAGGCAGGCGGTCATCCCATCATGGTTGGCATGGTTGTGTCTGGCTGGCGTGTGTGCGGTGTGCAGTTCGGTCAGAACTTGTATTTGGTCGGTTCGGTGGAGCCCCTGGGGCTGTGGGACCCGAGCCGTGCGGTCAAGATGACCTGGAACGAGGGCAACATGTGGACCTGCACCGTCAACCTGCCCGTCTGTAAGCACCAAGCACACCAGCACAGACAGACAAACCAATTCACGCACGACGCAACCCTTTTTTTTTGCGACTGTGTGTACGTTTCCTCCCTCCCTCCCTCAATCAATCGATCAGCGATCGGCGAGGTTGAGTACAAGTACATCGTGCGGCAGGACAACATGGTGGACTGGGAACACGGCAACAACCACAAGGTGAGTGAGTCAGTGGGTGGACCCACACACAGCACAGCACAGCACATCAACCACTGACAGACACGACGACCGATGTGTGTGTGTGTATGTGTGTAGCTCAACTCGGTGCAGGGCGGCGTGACGGTGGAAGACGCCTGGGGGCAGGGGCGGGGCTAGGGAGATAATCAGACAGACAGGATTGGGCGTCAAGTGTGGCTGGCTGTCTGTGCAGTGTGAGAGAGTGTGTGCGTTCCTAGTTGCTCTCTGCTACCACCAGTGATTTGTCTGCCTACGACTGGGATGATGGATGGATGGGGCGGTGGATGCCTGGCTGTCTGGCTGCCTCAGGGTTGTGTTGTGTTGTGCCATGTCGTGTGCAGCTATATCTATCGCCGTACATGTGGCTGTATCACTAGCTAATCGATCGATATCGATTCCTGTGTACTTGCGCATTTTTGTCGTCCGTCCCGTCCGCCAATCCGTCTGTCCGTCTCCCTCGCTCATAGAACGAACGACTCACTCACTCACTCACTCTGTCTGATCGACTGACTGACTGACTGCACAACACCTCTCTCTCTCTCTCTCTCTCCATCGGGCAGGCAGGCAGGCAGGCAGGCAGTGTGTGCATGCCATGCTTCTTTGTCGGACTGCCCGTCTTCTCGTGACGACTGAGTGGACGACTGAATGAATCAACGAGCGGTGTTGCATCCCTCCCTCACTCCCTCCCTCACTCACTGACTTGACAGACAGGAGGTCAGGCAGATACATGGCACCGGGTACCTACCTGTGTGGGTGCACGTGTTCTCAGCTTCTGGCGTGTGATGTCAACAACAAACAGCTCATGCACTCAGATGGTCGGTCCTCTGTGTTGTGTTGGCGTCACGTCACTCGCTGGGGAGGTCGAAGCACACACCACTGACTGACACACAAACAACGCAGGCAGACAGACCAGACAGGATCGAAGGAGGCGAAGCACACATGCATTGCAACACAACACAACCTGATTGGCAACCTGATTGGTCGATGGATTGGGTTGGCTGGGTGGGTGGCTGGCTGGGTGGGTGATGTACAGTCTCTCTGTGTGAAACCAGTGTGTCCCTGTGACGTGACGTCGGTTTTGGTTCGGTCTCTCGCCTTGTTGCCTGTTGCGACGCCAATGGACGCCAGTGGGGTCCTCAGCCCGGGGAGATCCAGGGCCCCGCACGGCGTTGCGAGTGACCTGCTTGCTGTTCATGTTGTGCGATGGTGTGAACTCACTCACTCAGTCCCCGCCACTCGTTCGTTGACGCACTTGATGTATAGTTGGTTACATACCTGCCTCATTGGTTGACGCATGCCTGTCTCCATTCCATCCATTCCATCCAGCCGCACACGCATGCACAGATTTATGTGTGTGTGTGTATGGAGTATTTATCCCTCTCCATCTCCGTCCATATATCTCTCTCTTTGTGTGTTGGTGCCGTGTGTAGCCCCACAGCACAGCTAGTGGCGCGTGTGCATTGCATGCGTGCGCGACAGTGGGCTGGCTGCGTGCGTGTGTCGGTTTTCATTGACACTCACTCACTCGGGTACTCGCGTGCGTATCTCGTGGGTGGATGAATGGATGGATGGATGGATGAAACTTCACACTGACCGCCTGCCTGACGCGGCTGACTGAAGCACATACTCGTGAGCCACACACAATTATCCCGAGATCGGTTAGATTAGCAGGTGGGTCCATTCCATTCATTAGGTATGCCTGCCTACACGCGCACACGCACATATCCCACAAGCATTGCAAGCAGCGCTAGGCAATTAGAGCATGATGAAAACGCACAGCTGACTATATAGTCATATACACACACAGGTCAGCCCAGGCCACACTTACCAGCACCCCACCCCACCTCCCCTCTCACAAAAACAGATAGATGCACGCAACGCACAGCAGCACGCTACGCACATCTCCACACACACATCAGCTGCAGACACCACACGGGCTTGCATTGCATTGCAGCTGGTTGCCCCCCATCCACACACACAAGGCGGGGCGGGGCGGGGCGGCAAGGGCGATGCGCATGACCAACGCGAGAGCAGCGGCACAAATAACCACCACCCACCCAGGCAGAGGGACGGAGAGAGGGAGGGAGAGAGAGAGCAACCAACCAAGCACCGAAGCAGCCGCGAGGCATTTCCTCACAGCTGCTGCTGCTGGTGCTGCTGCTGTTGCTGGTGCTGCCGTCTCCGCCCTGCTGGCCTCCTCTCTCGCTCTTGTCTTTGTTGCTGTTGTTGCTCTGCCTTGAGCTGCGTATACGATCCGCCGTACGATGATGATCCAGGATGCTTGGGATACTCCAGCACACCACCACCTGAGCCGCGCTTTCTTCTTTTCCTTCTGGCTGCTGCTGACGCTGCAACTGACGACTGCTGGTGGTGGTGGTGGCGGTGTGCTGAGGCGCTCTGGTCGGTCTGGAGCGTCATGATGGTGGCTGGTGGGGCCACCATGTCCTCTGTGGTTATCCTCTGGCTGTTGGACGGGTGGGAGTCGCGGATGTGGTTCAGGTGCACCAGCGCGGCGGCGTCTGAGCGGGCCTTGGCTATACCGACCTGCCGCACACACATGGATGGATGTGTTGTGAGTGTTGGTGTGTCGGTGGCTGACCTGTGGGGGAGAGTCTCTCTTGAAGACGGTGTAGTACTGCCGCATGAACACGTCACCTGTTGTATACACACAGCACAGGCCACACCACCATGCGTGTGTCGGCGCGTCTGTTGTGGGTCTGTGTGCCCCTCGTACCGACCGAGTATATATGCCGGTGCGTATGGCTCCGGCACGTCGATATCCATGTAACCCGCCTTGCAGTCACCATTGCCAGCCTACAGACGACGCGCACTCATAGTAACAAACGTGTGCTCTCTCCCCCATCCCTCCCTCCCTCACCGGCACGAGATATTCCGACGGCGTCAGCGTCACCACAACACCACTCTGCACACAACACACAACAAACAACAGCCACACACACACAAGCGCGTCCCGTCCACACACCAATGTCAGTTATGTGACAATCCCCCACTTATGTATATATCCCCCGCGCAGCGCACCGCACCATATTATAGGTGATGTTGACTTGCGCCTCCCCCTCGGCCCGGAGTGAGTCGCACGGCCTGGCGGTCAGCGGCACACGCGAACCCAACGCCTCCATCTGTGACCTCGGAACCGTGTTGAACGATGTGCCTGTGGGTGGGAGGGAGGGAGGGAGGGAGGGACACACAGAGACAGAGGATAGCTACAGGCACGTGTGTATGTGGTGGGGAGTAGGCAGGTCCATGTGTTGTGTGTGTGTGTGTGTGTGTTTACCCGTGTCGAATATGACGTATGCTGGCCCGTCACAGCAGAGCTGCAGATCGCCGACCGTTAGCCTGTGCAGCTTCACCTCCCAGTAGTGCTCCAGGTGTTGCGGTACGGGCAGCATGTGGATGGGGCCCTCGAAGTAACTCCGATTCACACCGCCGAAGAATGTCGCTGACGCCTGCACACACACACGCACACACACACACACACACAGAGAGAGAGAGAGAGAGTCAGTCATGGCGATACGTGGCTGGATGTCTGTCTGTCTGTGTCGAGCTGCACCTGGTGTGGTTGGCTTGACAGGTAGAACGAGAATTCGTTGTGTTTGAGGATGCCCTGCTGCATGATGTTGTCGAAAAAGGGCGTCACGCCTGCACACACCACACCACATTCACCGATCGATCGATCAGCGCCCGATGCGATGCGATGCGTGTGCCCGTTCACACCCCCCCACACACACATACCTTCACACGACATGGAGGGAAAGGCCAGCCCCAGAATGCCCTCAAAGTCGATCTCCTGAACCACCAAACCCACGCAGAACAGACAGATATGAGGGAAGAAGCAGGACAGACAAAGGCGTCAATGTCATCAGTCAGCCAATCACCTCGAAAATGTTGAATTCTCCGTCTTTGAGCTCGGCCGTGACGAGCCCAAACGACTGGTTCTTGACGGTGAAGGGCCCCAGCTGGAAGTCATCCAAACCCAGCAGCCCCTCGATGCTTCCCGTGCCGAACTGACAGTAATGATACCACCATCACCACCACACACACATGTGATAGCAGTGGATCGATGGCCGGCCATGGGTGAGTGCGGTGTCTCTGTGTGTGTGACGTGACCCACCCCACCTCACCTTGATGGTGAGTTTGACGCCCGGTTCCGCCCAGTGGAACGTGTTTGACTTGCTCATGTCGAACTGGTGGAGGCCGTCCTTGGTGCAGGTCGGCATCTGACACAATGTCGATATCACCCACAGATTCCTGACACACACACACCCCCCCCCCCCCAGTAC